AAGAACATTGACATTAATACTAATGATTAATGAAAACATTAATTTTAAAATTAATGTTAATGTTTTTCATTAATCATTAATATTAATGAATTAAGTTTTTCTCAGAAAACATTAACCATTAATATAAATGGCTAATGGAAGTCATTAATTAATGTCATTAATTAAGTTCCGTTAAAAAAAATGGTCCACCCCTAACAGCTAGTCGTTCTCAGCAAAATACTTCGCGTCAATGTTTTCTTTAACCATGGGAGATTTAGGTATGCGATTTTATTTTATTTCGTTTTCTTTGCTGTTTAATAAAATTATCTGATATAATTTTTCCTTCAGGGAACGATCCTTCTTCATTTTATCATTTTATTTATCTAGAGAAATAAGCGGAATTTTCGCAATTTCTACGAACAGATGCTCATTGAAAATCAATTGCTTTACGTCGTTGGTTTCATCTATTTTCTACAAGTTAAGTATGAAGTTTCTTTTGTTTTTGTTTATTTCATATCGAGAAAATTATCTGAACGATTTTTTCGATGGACGAAACGATTTATCTTCATATGATCATGGTTTTCCCTCTAAATGACCAAGTGAACTTCTAAAAAGTGGTGCAAACAGAGACTCATTTTTAACCAAATGCTGCACATCAATGTTGTCTCTAAACGAATGAAAGTTAAGTATGACGGTTCACGTGATTTCGTTTCTTCTATGTAGAGAAAATTATCCGACCGATTGTTTTCTATACAAAAAGATTTGGTTTTACATAAACGTTTTCTTTATCTAGATAAAAATGAAAAACTTTCAAAACTACTTCGAACAACTGCTGGTTCTCAATAAATTGGTCCATCTCTATTATTTCAACAATCCACTGCAAAGTAAATAACATTTTTCATTTCATCCTGTTGTGTCATATCGAGTGAATTATTGGAACAATTCTTTTCTTGATTGAAGTGATATATTTCCATTCAATCATTCTATTTATCTAGGTAAACACGAGTAGTTCTCAGAACTTGTGCGAGCATGTGCTCATTTTCAATCAACCACTTCGCGTCAATTTTTCTCACAATAGAATGAAAGTTAAGTATGAATTTTACATATTCAGAAAATCATTTCAGCGACCCTTTCGTATATGAAAACATCTCATTTTCTATAATCGTTTTATCTTTCTAGATAAACAGAAGGAACTTTAGAAAATGTTAAGAACATGGACTTATTCTCAATCAATTGATCGGTGTCAATAGTTTAATCTGTCCACTTAAAGTTACGTATCATTATTTATTTTATTTTCGTTCTTCACATATCCAGAGAATTATGTGAAGCTTTTTTGTACATTAAGGTTTTATTTTCATTTAATCGTTCTATTTATTTAGATATAGAAGTGAACGTATGGAAACTGGTATGAATATGTACTCATTCTCAATGAATTACTTCAAGTCAACGATTTATCAGACTCACTAGAAGTTAAGTATGATGTTTCCTTTCATCTCGTTTCATTCCTATAAAAAAATAAGTGGAAGGTTGTGTTCCTACGTGAAAAGATTCCTTCATATATTAATTTTATCTATCGATTCAAAGAAGGTGAATTTTGTAAATCATGACGAAAACATTTACGTTCACAATTAATCGGCGGACATCAGTGGTTTCTCTAATCAGTTGAAGTTGAAGCGTTAGTTCTTTTATGAGATCGTGTTTGGCTCCTAAGAAAAGTATAGATACATTTGTGTTTCGTTAGGGTGATGGAGCTTTTCCCGTTTGATACATATATATATTAGTGCACAAAACTGTAAAACTTGACCAACTAGTTGTACTTTGCAGCCAATAACTGTAGAATGATACGAATGGCTCTCAACTAGAATAAGATGAGTGTATTTTTTCTTGTTGAGTTGGTTTTTTTTAGAGGATTGATTGGGTTGTGTATCTTTTTTGATAAGTAGCCGTCGTATCAGTGAGGGGCTATTTCTACTAAAGTTTCCCAGCGAAGGAGCAGTAGCATTATGTAGTTGAAAATAGCATTTCATTTGTAAAATCTAAGTTTCGATGAAGGTGCACACGCTTTATATATTCAGACGAGATATTTGATAATTTGAGTGCTTTATAATACGATATTAATATTCGATTCTTCCTCACTTTTTAATAATTTTTCTTTTAGATCTTTGGGTTCGATCTTTTTTTACCGATTAATGGGGTTACGATCATAGATTCAATAGAAAGGTTTCGCATATGTGTGAGAGACAGTTACTTTGAACTTTTAGGTGCGTTTCACAATGCACTTCAGCGATTGTTGTCAAACGGTAGCTGCAATGTACTGATTTCTAGTAAGTTTTCAATTTAATCAGAGTTTTTTGAAGAGAAAATCGTCATTTATTAGTAACTCACGCTTTTATGTTTAGGTTTCATCAAACAAAGTCTTCAAAGTAAATACAGAATGTGCTGAATTACAAATACAATTTGCTTTATATCTTATGTGAGAATATTGCAAGTGGCCAACGTCAATTGAAGTGAGTAAACGTTTTGGTGTGACATTACAGAGAATTCATTTGCAGCAACTACTTAAAATCATTCCTCTAAGTTACTCACTCCTCAGTTTTATGTTAATTTAGCTATCCTATTTGTATTGTTTAGTCGCTGCTAGAAAGAGATTCCTACGATTTCTTTTAATCATCTTGATTTTGATTCTCGATCGAATTATCTTCAGGTTTTCTAGTTTAGCTCGTTTCTCACTGAGTGAGTATTAGATTTTAAGACAAGATCGAGTAAGAGTTTCGACACATATGAAGCTCAAAACGTAGAGGAAATAACGGATATGGTTTCTTCCAGTCTCTGGGAATCTATCATCCTCTTGTTAATTATTATGAAATGTCATAGATAGCGAGCGTTAGATATATATAATTATTAAAACTACAATTTAATTCAGCATATCTCTCTTCGTAGACATTTGTCTATCATCAACCAAGGTGAAAAAATAAAGTATTCAGTTATTCACCGACCCCTGGAAGTAGTTCATTGTACTATTGAATCATTCTATATATCCTAATATTCTCCCTGAAAACGATACTGGAGGTTCATAATTGGTTTCATAAACCTTATCATAAACCCTTGAGGCGGTTGATGAGATTCATAATGGGTTTCATATACCCTCTCACAAACGCTGGCGACCATTCATGATGTTCATAAACGCTTTTCAATAGCGTTTCTGAGAGGGGCTCATGGGTATAGTATTTTAATCAACCCTTTTTAGACCGAGTTTCGAAGGTTATATGAGAACGTTTATGTGAATTATCAACCCTTTTCAGGGCTTTATGAAAATGCAACGTGTCGCTATCCCTTTAAGCATTTATGAATCTAATCAACCCTTCAATAAACCTTCCAGAAAGCATATTTAACGATAATAAACTCCGTATTAAACCCTTTTTAGAGGATTTATACAGGGTTTATGACTCGTTGATAAACGCTTGAAAAGGGTTTTCTACACGTTGCACTTTCATAAACCCTTTTTTCGTTTATTATTCTACGGTTTTTTTTTACAGCGTAGAGTGCTAATGAAAGGGTTGCATAGAATATACCTTTTTGCTAATTGAAGTAGATTACAAATCAGCGGCTTACCACCGCAAATAAATTGTGAAACGTGTGTCAACACGACAACAGTAACTCAAGGCAAAAACGATACCTCAGTTCTTTTCCAAGTGGTGGAAACTGAGACGAGTCCACGATTCGAAGTTTTAACAACAACAAACACTCTCGACATGAGCACAAAAAATACTTCAGTTCTTTTGCAAGTGGTGGAAACGGAGACGAGTCTACAATTCGAAGTTTTTACAACAACGAACACTCTTGACATGAGCACAGAAATTTCAACACATCACACTGTTTCTGTTCAGTCTGGTAAGGTTTTCTTATTTTGCTTTTTAATACTGAAAGACGGTCCGAATATTTCCCCTTGGCGCCTTCTTAGATTCTGTCACAGATATGAGAGAAACGCAACTGTTTTTGTACAATTATATTTTTCATGTGTTTCTTCTATAAATCTGTTTTCTGAAATCTGATTTCCAAATAATTTTCCTTTCTTTTTTCATATGTGTCACACTACCATACCAAAATTTCTAACTGAAGCTAGGTATTTTTCCTGTAGAAACGTACCTCTTTTCTGAAACACGATCTAAAAGAAACGTTGAAGTGTATAGGGTAGAAATTTGGATTCACTCATCGACCCTCCCCACAAACCGTGGGAGATCGGCTCAAGAAACACAGTTTCATGGTGTTTCATATTTTAATTCCACAGGCATTGCGCCAACCGCTTTTTTGATATTTTTCAATCAGTCTCACCAAGCCATTTCAAGAGATTTCAGGCCAATGTTTTCATATATTTGTAGTATTCGGTGATTACTTTAAGCCGATGTGAGTTTGATTTCTATTCGTTGGATATCTTCAGAGATTCAAGGAGAGAAAGCGGATCCCAATAGTTGCCATTGGATCTCGGGATCCACTTCCCCCTTGCCAATTGAACAGTATTTTAAAAAACCTGTCGTGACTTACATGGGCCGGCTTTCAAGCTCTCTTCGGAGAAATAGAATGTCTCTTTGATATTAATAGTCCGTTTCGTGTGCACAACAGAGAGACAATTTCTTCGCAGACAACCACGATGATACCAACCGTTTTACTTTTCTGTTTTTTCTTGTAGTTCTACCCAATATTCCATCGGATGTACGATGGGACCAGAAGGAGATAACTGTTGCTGGCGGCCATGAACGAGGTAATGCCACCAACCAACTATCATATCCTTATGGCCTGTTTATTGACGATGATGATGAAGCAACGATCATCACTGACTACAGCAATCATCGCATCGTCAAGTGGAAGATTGGTGAGAAAAGTGGACACATAGTTGCTGGTGGCAATGGTCAAGGAGATCGGCCGTATCAACTGAGCTATCCAACCGATGCGTTAGTCGATAAAAACACGGATAGCCTCATTATTTGTGATCAAGGAAATAAGCGAGTATTGCAATGGTCTCTATCCAGTGGTACAACTCTCGCAACAGTCCTGAGGGACGATATTCATTGTTTTGGATTGGCCATGGATTATCAGAGATATCTTTACATCTCTGATGAGATAAGATATGAAATAAGACGATAAAGAATCGGAGAAAAGAGTGGAATTCTTGTTGCTGGTGGTTTTGGTGAAGGTCGTGGTCTCAAAGAGCTCAACTGTCCGACCTACCTTTTTGTCGATCAACATCAGACTGTCTACGAGTCGGATAGTCTGAATCATCGCGTAATGAAATGGAATACGGGTGTAAAAGAGGGTATCATCGTTGCGGGTGGTCGAAATGTGAGCAATGCTCGGGCAGAATTGTGGGACCCAAAAGGAGTGTTCGTCGATGCGTCGGGCATCGTCTACATAGCAGACGTCTATAATCATCGAGTGATTCGTTGGCCTCAAGGAGCGAAGCAGGGCACTGTTATTGTTGGTGGAAATGATGTAGGAGCAAGAGAAAATCAGTTTAACGAGCTCGGAGATTTGTCTTTCGATCAGCATGGAAATCTCTATACTGTTGATCATCGGAATCATCGTATTCAACGATTTTCTTTGAAATAAACTATCAACAGAGTATTCATTCTTTTATTTTTCCTTTCAAATAAATGACATTGAATGGGAAAGAGAAAGGATTATACTGTCGTGATGAAGCTGTAACTGATGACCGCATGGAAAAGACTCAGCATTCACCTTTTACTGATGATATGTGTCAACGAGTGAATTTGTGTGTGTCAAATTTGAAAAAATGTGGCATATGAAACAATTTAGGGCTTTAGCGAAGATACAGTACTTCTTAAGGTTCTATTTGCCTATCATTAAACCATCTAAAGTACAAGGAAATTCAAGGAAAAGTATGATAGAAAACATGAGAAATAGACATTTGCGAGAAAATGTGCAACAAATAACGAGCATCTCTAAATGATTGCAACATAATTCATTCTCTGTATATTTGAATAAGCGTAAATAATAAAATCTTAAACTTTCATACCATACGTCCTTCTATTGTGTAGCATAGTCGGAAAAAAAGATTCCCTTAACTTGTGCTTACATATTCAGATAATGCTAATAGAAAAAGCGGATCAGATATTGTTGGGCCTCACTCTGATATGTATGTAATCGCTGAAAAATACATATTTATCATATAAATCAAGTCTGTAGAAACTCATTTGCCGTGCTATGATCCTGATAGAGTGAACATCTTCATATTCGAAACTACCTAGGTAGACAAGCAACGATTATTTTTGTTTTAAAATGTGTTTTTCATAGTTTTGTTTGATGTGAATCGACCATGATATGTTGAAAATGCTGGCAGTGTGTGTGTGTAGTTGCTGTGACTGTGAATGATAAAATGAAGCTCAGAACTGCCCACACTCATACCTCCGTTTAGAATTTTCTTTTTATTCCCTCATCGGTCATCGAAAACCAAAGTTTTAACTAGTTACTGCTTGATGTTAACGATAAAAATGGCAATCTTTGCGATATTGCAAATGTGCAGCATGATAGGAGTATTTTCCTGAGAGTATCTATCACGGTCAATGATGGTCTCTAGAAATCATCTGTCAAGGTATAGTGAGAGGAGTCTGGGGACTAATGTCTGCCCTATTTTCTTCGACACTTATTTTAGCTCTTGTTGAAGTATTTATACTTTTGCATAGGATGTTCAAACACTGTTGACCACTTAATACATTTAAATAACTACGTGGCTGATGCGACTTAATTAAAGTCTTTTTTTTTATTTGAAAGAAAAGGGTATCTAGTTATGTTTGGTTAACAGCATGTTTATCAGCAGCGTACAAAAAGGTTGCACTTTCACAGGCAGTTAAAAAAACAAAATGGAAAAATAATTGAGAATGTGGGAAAAGAAAACGAATTAGTAGACAATGTTCGATGATAGTGATAATATTTAATGGGAATGTCGGTTTTTCTGTGTTCATGTATATTTCTGTCATATTTTCTAGAACGAAAAAATTATGAATTATTTCATTTCTACAAACTACTTGAGATGATAATCTAAATGAATGTAAGAATGATGAAGTAAAACATCAGTGATATTCCTATGATGAGTTATCATCGAAACAAGATACTATAATGGCACAACATATCGGCTTTATTTGCCGCTGCCAGTACAAATAGGACAACAATAACCAGGACTGTAAGGACAACAACCACAGCAACCCTTAGGACCACTAGGGCCATGGGGGTTACAAGAATTGTCACAATACAAACAACTATAACCTATACAAAAATAATCAGGAGGATAATAACCATTACCACCAATATAAGGAGGACAACTTTGATTTTTCTTAATTATATGATTGATAAAGTCATTAGTTTCAGTTTCGGTCACTACGTCCTGCGTCATGCAGCTTGTAGCCATCAACAACAAGAGGACGGTCAAAAACATCAATTGGCTATTATTTTTCATTGTCCTTTGTTGCTTTTCTATGCTTGAAGAGAGAGTAATAGACGAAGACAATTAAAAGTGTAAATGACATGGTCCTGTAACCGTGCTTCGATTTTATATATACGTCGATCGCCGAGTAAGGAGGAATCTGCGAGAGAAAAAAACCTTTTTTTCATGAATGGGTGGAGGCCGATGTCTTTTTTCTCGCAGAGAGGCAGCTCACATTCTAAGAAAAAATAGCTTCACTACGAAACCCTTTACAGATTTCTGAATGCACCTTTATTATTTATTCACTTCGACAAAACTACAGATAGCAAGTAAATTTCGGCGAATTTTGATGTAGTTTCATTGAAGCCATCGTTGCGCACTATAAAAGATAGAGGTGTATTCCGAAACCTGTTAAGGATTTTGAAAATGTACTCACGATCAGCTTTTTGCGTGAGAGATTTTGTTTACATAATATACCTATTGTACAACTCTAGATCACAAATGTTAAAGTAGTTATAGAGGGCGTGGGTATGGTTGCTCATCCAATCAACAACCCACACTCGCATGATGGTAATGCTCAGAATTGAAGCTCGTTGCTAGTGTAGTCTTATGTCATAAAAGAAAAACAGATAAGGAGAAAATGAATATTTTCAATAAGATTAATATTGATCACGTATGCAAAATAGTAGAAGCAAAAAATGTGAAAAATACTAATAACAAGCGGGTTTTCAGTACAGATAATATCTCAGTCTCAATCGCTGACGATCACGGTAGCTGAATTTACAGGCCCACCCCGATTCCACAGCCAGAAGCTAATTGTATAATAGTTG